GGTCAATCAAGTTACCTGAACTGAGAGGATCAGGTCAAGTCAAACAAAAATCTGACCTGATTTAAATTTTCATTTGACCTGACCTGACCTGACCTAATCGAATTATAAAACATTATTTTTGAATGATTAAATCATCATTTTTGAATGTTCTCGAACGATAACGAATCGTTCTAATTGAACGATAAAACCATCATTCTTGAACGATAAATCATCGTTCTCGAATGATAAAACTATTGTTCAAGAATAATAAAACTATGATAAATCATCATTCAAGAATGATAACGAATCGTTCTAATTAAATGATAAACATCGTTCAAGAACGATAAAAAAATTGTTCAAGAATGATAAAAACATCGTTTTCGAATGATAATGAATCGTTCTAATTAAACGATAAAACCATCATTCTTGAACGATAAATCATCATTCTCAAACGATAATATCATCGTTCTCGAACGATAAAACTATCGTTTAAGAATGATAAAATAATTGTTCTTGAACGATAAACCATCATTCTTGAATGATAAAATCATTATTCTCAAACAATAAATATCGTTCAAGAATGATAAAACATCGTTCATGAATAATAAAACATCGTTTACGAACGATAAAACATTGTTCAAGAATGATAAAAACATCATTCTCGAATGATAACAAATCGTTCTAATTGAATGATAAAACATTGTTCAAGAACAATAAAATCATCATTCAAGAATGATAACGAATCGTTCTAATTGAACGATAAAACATCGTTCAAGAATGATAAAACTATCATTCTCGAATGATAATGAATCGTTCTAATTGAACGATAAAACATCATTCAAGAATGATGATTGGTTGACCTGAATTTTATCAGGTTAGGTCAATTCGACCTGTTGACCTGACCTGACATTAACCTGAAAATCTACTGACCTGACTTGGATTTTCAGGTCAGGTCAGGTCAGGTAAACAGGTCGACCTGATCTGATTCGAAGCTCTAGTCATTCTTGTTCTTTCCATTATCATTGAAAGTTATGACATTATATTCTTTACTGTTATCTGAAGGGTTTGAAGTATTTTTTTATAAGGTTTAAGTTTTTCCGTATGTATTTTGTTTTTTAGTTGTTAGAGATATTATGGTTGAGAAGATCAGTGGAAAGAGTTATTTTATTTTCTTATATTTTCTTGTAATTATTAGATAATAAATTATTTTAAAAAATTGAAAAATTGAAAAATTAATATATATTAATAATTATTAATTTTAAAAATTTAAAAATACTATCATTAGATAGATCTTAATATGACAAATTTAATAAACTTTATTTCATTTTTTTATAATTGTTAGATATTAAAATATTATAATTTTTCTATAATATTTTATAGTTAATTTATATCTATGCTTTAAGGGATAGCATTTGATAGCATGAATTTTATAGTTATTAGTGATTTTATACAATTATCTCTAATTAATAGTCAATTAGTATTTTGTATAGCTACTTAGTTTTTTTTTATCTCTTATTTTTAAAAACCTCTTAATATCAATAAATTTTATCAAATGTTATAAGAAATCTGAATAGACAATATTACTTTTGAAACTTAACAAATCTTTTAACAATAACATTCTAAATTTTTAACATATTCTGCAATTGATATTCTTCTTAATATCACTAATATTGTAAGTTTTAAAAAAACTGCTCAAGAATGATTTATAAATTCTATACAATAGGATCCATTATCTTTTAAAAATATCTTTAAAATTAGAACTAATCTACCTTTTTCAATTAGATTAAAATCAGAAGCACGTATTATGTGTCTTAACAATTTATTAATTGAATAAAGAATATGTAATGGTATAATAGGAATTATCACTGATCTTAATCTTATAAATTAATTTGTTTGTGTTTCATTTTTAGTTAAAGGTTCTATTATTGATACAATAATTTACAAACAATCTCATTATTTCGAATTATATAGAAGTAATTATCACAGTACACAATTTTCACTTCAAAATTATTTTGCTTTTACTGTTTACAAAACTTAAGATACAACCTTATCAAAAGTATTTTTTGCATTAGATGAAAATATATTTTTTCTTAATAAGCTTATGTTACTCTTAGTAGATGTTCTATTTAGAATAATATTGAAATATCTCATCTTGATTGTTTAGCATTTATAACAGATCAAAATATGCTTCTAGAATATGAAGATTATATAAAATATTAGGATCTAACCTTTATAATTTTTGATAAAAACATTCTAAAAAAAAAAAAAATCATTAACATTTTTTCTTATAATAAATAAATTCATTACAAAATTATAATTAATCAATCAATCATATTATCATATGACTTATCTTTATTCAAATTACAATATTATCATAATAATTTTATTAAATAACAAAAAGAATCATTAATATATAAACTACATCATTAACAAAAAATAAAAACGATTTTTTAAAACTAACCCTAAATGTAATATTATACAACATACGATTTTATAATACTTCAGTTTAAAAATACGGTGGGTATTGGAGAAAAAAATTATAGGCTAGTTATATAAATTATAATTTTATATAATATGCCACAATTCACAAAAAACTGTGCCCAGATACTTTCTTCAGGGTAGTGTATATAGTCCTTCACTTTCTTGCGGACTAATTAATGATAAAAAGTTCAACTAAGTACTTTTAGGTCCTAATTGTTTAAATTGTTTAATTAAATTTTCTGATTGACATTATAAATTAAACAAAACAATAACCATTTTGAAAGCATTCATCATATGAATGCGTAAAACAAAAAAAAAATATTTGAGTTAATGTTAAATCTAATATATTTATTAAAATCATAAGTAATTTTTTTTTTTTTTTTTGGTAATTCCACTAGTGTATTAGTAGTATTAGTAGTACGTAATACGAAATGTTTATTTTGAAAATGATTTATATCAAAATTTATAAGGCGATGATAATGTATAAATATGATAACTGATGAAAAAATTATATGACAAAAAAATGAAAAAGAAAATTATAAATAATGGCAATGATCTCTATATTATAAATAAAAATAAAAAAAATTACATCTATATAATTTTATAAAAAAATTAAAGTATAATAATTTTGTTTTTAAAAAAATTACTTTAAATATTATACAAATGAAATAAAAATAAATGATAAATTAATTACTGTTATTAAATACAGAATTTGCTTAATAGGTGTAAAATAACTACTTACAATTAGTTAAGATATAGTACAGTCCTCTTTATTTGCTTGAGTTCTTGTATGTTTTGTGGGTCTTACACGACTCGAACTTCCCAAATTCTTTAACTCTGTAAGACGTTGCATTGCTCTTTTATTTCCTTGAGCTATTAGTAATATCCAGGAAAAAAATTTTAATTATAAAATTCAAAGAAAAAGAAAGAATTATCAATAATTTGCTTATAAATATTACCTGCAGCTCGCATATACCAACGTCTTGCTTCTTCAACATCTAATTTAACACCGATTCCTACTTCAGAATAGTACCCAATTGCGTATTCTGCCTTTGCGAGACCTTTATCAGCAGCCTTACGCGCCCATAAATACGCCTCTGTGTCAGATTGTTTTAGTATACCATCCGACCCTGTTAAATACCAACCAGATAATGCCAATTCTGCTTCTGTATTTCCTTTTTCAGCAGCACGGGAATAGTATCTAATAGATTGGCGTGGGTCAACGGGACATCCCAATTGTCCGTATTCAAAACAACAACCTAACTTAAAGCAAGAAGGGGAATAACCAAGATCCGCAGCTTTTTTAAATTCTTCTATAGCATGTTTTTCACTTCTAATTAAAGAAGGAATTTCTGGTGGCTCTTTTTCGGGCTTTGCATGTAATAAACCCAACTCATGTAATGCATGTGGATTCTCCTCGTCAGCATGGGAGGCCGCTCGTTTAAGCCATATAATAGCTTCGCGTGGATTCGGATGTTGAGATAATAGACCATTTAACATTATCATACCAAGCTTATACATGGCAGCTGTATCGCCTAATGCAGCGGCCTTTTTAAAAAATTGTGTAGCTCGTTGTGGGTCACGTTTTGTTCCAGCGCCAACTTCGTAACATACGGCTGTACGATAAGTAGCAGCAGCATGATTTTGTTTTGATGCTTGCATATACAAATTAAAAGCTTTATCATGATCCGGAGGTAATCCTAATGAACCATTCCCATAGCAATTCGCAAGATAAAATTGAGCTTCTGGGTATGCAGGACGTCCAAATCCCATTCCTTGCGTTGCTAGCCTTTTAATAAGCTTAACAGCTTCTTGAAGTAACGCATCTTTTTTCTTTTTAGCATTTTTCGGATCAGGATCATCCTTACTTGTGACTGCAGCAGCTTCAATTAAATATTTAGCGAAACCTAATAACGAAGCAGGATCTCCATTTTCTTTAGATTGTTTACGATATTTTTCTATGGATTCAAGTGTATATACAGGTTTATCCTCCATCTGACCAGTATTCTTAGTTTGTGATGTTAGAATACTTGAATTATCTTCATACATTATATCATATGGTTCCTGTTGTTGATGATCATAATATATCGGTTGACCAGTTTCATCCACTGGATACCCTTGAGGTGGATAATTTGGATCATAATTTGGATCATAATTTGGATCGTAGTTTTGATCATAGCGATATGGATCCGGATAATATTGCTGTTCTGCACCATAATATCCATCGCTTCCAGGATATCCTTGATAAGGAGCGTAAGCGTATCCTTGATAATCATAATTGGTTTGGTCATAACCATATTGATCTTGAGAATACGCATAAGCTTGATCCTCGACATAACCCATTGCAGGATCATAATTTTGTCCAGGCGGATAATATCCTCTAGGATCATGATTTTCATAATGTTCATTATTATAATAGGGTTCTTGTGGAGAAATTGGAAGAACTTGATTATCATGATTTACTTGATTTAGAGGAGGTTGCGAACCTGGAGGATACTCATTATAAGCATCCTGATAATTATATGTTTGATATTCATCTTGCGGTAGTTCTGGTTGATACCCGGGTTCATGCTGTTGTTGTAGTGGAGGAGGAGGTGTTGCTTGATTCGGACGAGGACGAAGACGAGGAGACGGTACTCTTTGAGTTGTTCTTTGTGAGTTTGTTGCATGAAGTAAATTGGGGTTCGTAACTTGCGTTGTATTAGAGCGTGTTAAAACTTGGTTATCATCACCGATTCTTAAATTATTCATGCTTAAAATGGCTTGGTCAACTGAGGGGTCCGATTTAGATTGCGTTGGTGGACCATATTCACGATAAGCTTGATCGTGATAACGTTGTAGAGCAGGAGATGCGCGACGTTCCTCATAATATGGCTCACGAGAAGTTGGTTGCGCACTCATTCTATTATTTTTTTAAAAACAAATATAAAAGAAAAGCTATAGGTATATAGAATTTTTTCGAGAGGGAGAAAAAAAATTATAAAGTATAATATGTGGAGCATGTTATAATTGATTTTCTAACGAGAACCAATTAAATTATTAAAGGGCGCAGCACAAGAAATTAGAATTATTTTCAATGAGATCAATAATTTATAATGTAACATTTACATATACAAGTTGAAATGACGGATTTTCGCATGACTAGATTGGATATGGATTATTTGTCACATCTACGTTATACTTTTTCGTTGAGAGGCTTAACAGAAAAACTGTTCTTTACAAATTTGTGATCGTGGCTGAAATATAGTTAAACGTTAGATCGTCGGTGACATTTGAATCGAAGAACGATCATAAATTAAAATATAACGCATGTATGCAATTAAGTAAATAAATAAATAAATAATATTTATTTAATTATTGGATATAATATAAATAATGTATACATTAGTTAATAATTAGGCCTAAGGAAGAAATTTTTTGATCTATAATTTAATCCAAAGTGAATTAACATTATCAAAAGAGAAAGAAAAGGATAGGCGTGATAATTGCAAAAGGAAAAACCATCATCCCTTTTTGAACTCGTTAATCGTTGATTTGCGTCCTATTATTGATCGGGAAATATAGTTACTTCCTCTAATTTAATTTGGTTTTATGAGATACACTATTTATAAACAAATAGAAAAGAATAGGAAAAAAGAAAAAAAAGAACTTGTCCCTTTTTGAAGGCAACATTAAAAACGTAAAAACGAGTGACACGTGTATTAAACAAATTAATTTTATTTTTTTTTTTTTTTTTTGTGATAAAAAAATAAATAAATCAAATACATAAGAATATAAAAAAAAAAATAAAATAAAAATAAATGTAGTCAAAGATTGCAAATTATTGATATCCACCTGGTTTGAATTACTACAGACACCCGTTAATATTATTAAAGGATTACGTTAGCTTGTTGATAAAACTACTTGGTCATCATCATCTTGACGAATTCTTCATAATTAATTTGACCGTCACCGTCAACATCAGCTTCACGAATCTAATACAAAGACATAGATTATAGATTACATGTATATTCGTTAGTGATGCGATAAGTAAAATTGAAATATAGTCAAGAACGTCAACTCACCATTTCGTCAACTTCTTCGTCAGTAAGTTTCTCACCGAGGTTTGTCATAACATGTCTTAATTCAGCGGCGGAAATGAAACCGTTACCATCTTTATCGAATACTTTGAAGGCCTCTTTAATCTCTTCTTCAGAATCGTGATCTTTCATCTTGCGAGCCATCATGGTCAAAAATTCAGGAAAGTCAATTGTACCATTACCATCGGCATCAACTTCGTTGATCATATCCTGCAACTCTGCTTCAGTTGGATTTTGACCAAGAGACCTCATTACCGTACCGAGTTCTTTAGTGGTAATAGTACCATCATTATCCTTATCAAATAGAGAGAAGGCTTCCTTGAATTCGGCAATTTGTTCTTCAGTAAGTTGGTCAGCCTATATACATAAATTTTAAGTGTGAATGAGTTTTATTATTATTATTTATTCTTTTGTTTTTTAACCTTATTTTTTCCTTTTAAAAGAAAGTACTTTACTACCAAAGACCCATTCATAAAATAAAAGGGACGAATATCGGAAAGACTTTGTTATAAAGCCAAGTTTACTTATCTCGTGTAAACGCGGCTTTTTTATTCTTAAAACATAACTTAAAGACTTAGCATTACGATATTTGTAAACCTAAGATGTTTAAGATTAGCAAAAAGAGAATGGGTTATTGAAGGCTTGAAATTACTATTTTTTTTTTTTTTTTTTTTTTGGGTCAAAAGTGATTCTATGGTGGGTGGTTGTTTAAGTATATGATGTCGACCCCCTTTTTTAGACGCGGCTAGTGAAGGAAGTAGTGGATAATCTTGTTCTGATCTTTGAATTTTAGCCAATAGTCTTGCAAATCATTTTATCATCGGCGCAGTGACTTACATCAAACCACCAAATCAAGGGTGAACACAAACAGAATTAGCCTAATTAATCAACACAACGGGAACACTTTTGTCAAGCCTCAAATATCCTTGCCCCAACCTTTGCCAAGAAAAAATTGATTATACTTTCTATATTTAACGGAGTTTATTCAATATTTTGTATTTGTGTCAGTGTTCCGAGTTTCAAAAAAAAAAACACCACATAACACAGCAGATAACCAATTACCAGCTGTCCGCCTCAGCCTCACCGCAGTCTTATCTTATCAGTGACGTATTGATGTTCCGAGATGTGCAAGATCTTTTATGAATTCGAAAGCGCGTTGTTTCGTCTTTTCTAAACGATCTTCCATACCTCCCATACCCTTTATCGCATTTACACGTCCCTATTAAATATTCTACCTTACTTCAAACCGAACCACAAACCAATAATTCCAACAACATTTTGACAATATTTCTTCCTGTTGTGTCAAATCGAATCGATTATCAAAATTTTTATTTTTATTTTTATTTTTTTTTGAAAGCGTGTTAGATAATAAATATATTAATATATATTACGCGGTATAATAAATTGTTGTGCCATTGACAGGATAGAGCGTTTTCTGATTTTTTTTTCAAATTCTTTATAGTTTTTATTTAATGTTTTAGCTTCCCTCCTTTCTTAACTGTAATCAAAAATGACAGAGACCGGAGGCCGTCATATCGCTATTCTTGGAGGTGGCGTCATTGGTTCTTCTATCGCATATCAAATCACTTTACTCAACAAAGATCCGAATTTAAAAGTAACAGTCATAGAACAAACCGCCATTGCCTGTGCCGCTTCTGGTAGAGCAGGGTACAGTACAAGTATTTGTTGGGCTCTTTTTATTCTAGTTTTCAGGGAGGATGAGTTGATTTTCAGAATTATGCTGTGTTTATAAAATGTTTCTAATTTTTCGCTTCTTGATATCTTCTAAAGTGGTTTCTTATCTTATGACTGGTGTGACGGAGGTCCACTTCAAGATCTTGCTCGCAAAAGCTTCAAGTTACACGCTGAACTTGCCAGAACTTTAAATGGTAAAAAAAGATATGATTATAGAGTTGTCGATACCTTATCAGTAACGGCTTCAATGAAAGCTGTAAGCGTTAAAGCACCCCCAACGAATTGGTTAAAGACTGGTGTAATTACAAAATATAAACAGATCGGATCAACTAAAACAACAGCTCAACTTCACCCTTACAAATTCACTCAAACATTAATAGAGGAAGCTGAGTCTAGAGGAGCTCAAGTTAAAATTGCCCGCGTTGAAGGGTTAGAATTTGATTCATATAAAGTATCGGGTGTAAGACTTTCCACAGATGAAGTTGTACCCGTTGACACAATTATTATAGCAATGGGTCCTTGGAGTGGAGAAGCTCTTTCATGGCTTGTCAAAAAAAGTGGACGTGCTTATCAGCTTCCGGATGTTTCAGGTCAAAGAGCTCATAGTATCGTAATAAGACCTTCGGTACCGATATCAGCACATGTTTGTTTTGTATCGCTTAATCTTGGTCGTAAATTTGCCGAACCTGAAATTTATCCTCGTCCGGATGGGGAAGTTTACGTTTCTGGAGAATGTGATGAATCGCCGCTTCCTCCTAATGCTGATCAATATGTTCCAAATCCTACTGCGATTAAAAACCTTAAAAGCAACATAAATACCCTTTCTCCCGAGATTTTGGGTATCGCACCTATCATTAAAGAATCATGTTGTTATATGCCTATATCTGATGATGACAAACCTTTAATTGGAAAAGTTCCTTGGCTGGATGGAGTTTACCTTGCAACTGGACATTCTGTTTGGGGAATTTTAAATTCTTCGGGTACAGGTCGGGTTATTGCAGAAATGGTTTTGGAAGGTCAGGCAAAGTTCGCTGATGTTAGAGCATTAGCTCCCATGCGACCAAGGAATACAAATAGAAATTCTCAATGAGGATTGGTTTACCAAAAGTAAATGATGTTCTGTGAACAAACAATTTGTTATAAATAAGTGTTGAAATAATCATTAAATCTTTTGGCAGGTTCGTGATTTTAATCGCACAATATATAAGATTTGAGTTCATTAGAAAAAATATCATTTTAGATCATTGTATAATTTTTCATTTCATAAAAATTATAAAAAAATATTCAAACTCCGATTCTCTGAGTTTATAAAAAGATTTTTTTTTCCTTCAATTCCTTTTTTCTTTTTTTTTTTAAAAAAAAAAAATAATAATAATTTAAAATCATCAGGAATCGATATAGAATTGTAAATTATTAATTAATTAATTTGGACACCAAAAATGAACAGTTAACTATAACCAATGAAAACTGAACTTTTTTAGGAAATTCTCTAGATAACTTGCTTTTTTTGATACGTTACAAAGGTTTATCTTTTCCTTCTTTTGATTACTCGCCAAAGTAATGGGACCAAGTCATACGCCTTTAGATTTGACAAGTCTTCAAGAAACCTTGCCAGTGCCAGCTACGATGGCATACATTCAAGCTTTTCTGGTGTGTTTCTGTTCAATTAAATTAAGAAACGACTTTTTTTTATTTATATATTTTCAATGGTTAATTTTTGTAATAAAAACAGAAAGACGAACCGAAAAAAGCTTTCGACTGTGTTCAATTAAGACTGAAGAAAGCAAAAACATTAAATCAGGAAATCGCAAATTATTTTCAAGAACGGTAACGTATTAATGTATACTTATTTGTCACAAAGCTTATTTTACTAATTTATATATTTTAATGCATTATTAGAGCCAGAGTCGAAGACGAATATGTTAGAGGTCTTCAACGATTAGCAAACAAAGTATTTGTAGCAGATAAAAATAGCTTGGGGTATTACATTATTTATTTTGGTCTTTAATTTATATTCTTTACTTACTCGATTGTTTTCTTTCCAGTACCTTTGTAAATGTATGGGATACTCTTCTCAAAGAGCTCACTGAAATAATTCAAATCCATACTAATTTAAGTTTAAAAATATATGCGGAAGTAGAAGGCCCATTACGTGAAAAAGCAACGTCTGACCCATGGTCAGAATTAAAACCTGTAACAACTTTATTTTTACTAATTCTCTTTTATAACTTTAATATTTATTTTTATTTAGACAAACTAAACTCACTTTAAATTGATTTATTAGCTTGAAACTTATCTCGGCAAATTAATACGGGAATATGAAGAAAAACTACAAAAAGTTAACAAGGTATTTGTTTCAGATTTCTCTAATTTTCTTTCTTTTTCTATTTATTAATGTATTGTTATCGGTCAATTACAGCACAAGACCAAAAATAAAGTCGGAAAAAAGGCAGATGCTGGTAAGGTATTTAATTATGATTATGTCATATATATATTAAAATAGAAAAGTTCCAACATTGATTTATTTCATCATTATGTTAAAGAAAGTAAACTCAATGAAACTCACAGAGCTTTAGAAGATTCTAAGACATTATATCTTGAGGTTTGCTAAGTTTTAAATATTAAAGAAAGTATAATATCTTAATGTATAATAAAGGATTATTTCTTTTATCTTATGTAGAAAACCTACGCTGTTGATTTAATGCGTTTGGAGAATTTGAAAGATTCTATAGAACGTTTTGAATCTATACAAAAAGACGTATATAAAAACCGTGTTGAGGTAAATTAGGGTTCGTTATATTAAATCTACTCATTTCTTTATTTACAGAGTTGTTTTATCATTAGATTGCTGAAAAAACATTGGGAACAGTTAAAAAATTTGATGCTCAAGGCGAAATTAAGGATTTTTGTTCCAAGAAAGGACAAATTATTGAAGGTTTTTGTTTTATTTTTTAAATAAAGAATTTGATGGGTGTACGTTTATTCTAAAATAAGAATAATTGACATTTTCTAAATTTAATTCTATTAATGTCACATGTAGGAGGAACTATAGAGGAATCATCATCGTCATCTCCAGGTACCGTAAATCAATGTATGTTATTTAGACCTGAGTTTTTATTTATTTATAAATAACTTTCATAATTTACATCTTTGCAGTAAAATATGCCTTTACGATTAGGCGTAAAAAAGTAACTTCACAAAATCATTTGTATGTATAATCTCGAATTTATTTTTTAAAAAAAAAAACATTACGAATTGTAGAATTAACTTTAGTATTATGTGTATTACTTAAAGGGACGTTTCTTCTCAGCCTAAAATGGAAAATATCGACTCTCACAGTGATGGTTTGAGGAGCCCTTCAACTATTTCAGTCAATAACGATCATCATGAAGTTGCAGTGGTAAATATGTCATTCAAATGTTTTTTATCCTGACAAAGTGCATGGATAGTTATTGTGAATTTTTTTATTCATTGTGTTTTGTCTAGCCAAAAGTAGTTGTAGACTCGGAAGGTTACTCAATACCTCCCACGGAATCCAAGTCGGATAATTTTTCTTCTTCAAATGAAGAAAATGATTCAGATTCACGATCAGAAACTGCTAAGTACGTTTTGGTTTAATTAGTCGGTCTAATCATCTTAATTAGTTTACTAATATGTTATGATATAGTTCATGGAATCAAGAGAAAATGCGTGTTGAGATTAAGCCGACGGTTGTTCCAATAAATGAGGAAGAAGCAGCTGCAGCCATGTCACTTGTTATGACACATCTCAAGTCGGTAAGAAAGTATTTAATATTAAACACAAATTATAATAATTTAAGAAATGTTTATTTTATATCATATCTTTACATAGACACCTACTTCGAAAAAAAGCACGCATCGTGGTCGAAGAGAGTATGTTTTAATTCAATTCTTTATTTTTTATTTTTGTTTACTCTAATATTGATTATCTATTCTTCTTTAGTCAATGGAGAAATACTATATCGAATAATGCAGACAGTATATATGTCGACACAAACAATGTTTCGCTTTCACCTTCATTTTCTGATAGGGCAAATAGCTTAATTAATTCATCCCCAACTTCATATGAATTCCTGGAGGTTGTAAATCATCCAAGAGCTTATTCCGACTCTGAGACTAAACCACGTGGATTACGTGCTTCAATCTTTGAAACTGTCAACATAATGTCCAAAGCTGGTGAAGTTACAAAAATACTTGTAACGGGTGAAATAAGTGTACAATATAATTTTCCAACAGTACGGGATCATTCACATCCAGTCAGGATTAGAATCAATAATTTTGAAACATTGGAAAAGTCTGCACCAAACACATCATATCTTCGTCCCGCACCAGACCTTGTAGGACAATATGATATTGATACAAGCTTATTATCTTTGGCAGGAGGGGCTTCGGTAGCTGTAATGAAATATCAAGTGCACATAGATCCGGAAAACAAAAATACATATGTACCACTTCAAGTGATCCCACATTGGAAATGTGAATCAAATTTAACGTCATTAGCTGTTTCATATCAAGTGAATCCCGAATGCAAACTTACAGGAAATCTCTCAGAACTTTCCTTCATAGTACCTGTAGATGGAGAAGTTGGAACAGTACAATCTAAACCCACTGGAGTATGGAGTATGGAAAAGCAGAGGATTTATTGGCAAGTTGGCGATGTAGACCTTTCTACTTCTCCTGAACGTAAAAGAATATTAGCACGTTTTGAAACAGGAAAACCATCTACCCCAGCACCTGCTGCGGTTAGGTTTTTATGTAAAGGACAATTGTTGAGTAATATTTCGATAGATATTGTACCTTCTGTATCAAATGGACAGGAGCAAGAAAATAGCAATAATCCAGGGGGGTTTGAAAATGGTTTTAAATTTCAGGAGATAACGTGTCAAGTTTCTAGCGGTAAATTTATTGCTTCTCAATAATAATAGAGGAATTGCTGAACGATTTTGCAGTTTGTTCTCGTGTTGAGTATTGGTTGGTTTTATTGGACATTTTGCATAAACACATTATCATTTATAATTAATTTCAGTTATTTATTAACTAATTCAATTCTACTATTAAATCTTTTTACATTCACTTATAAAAACATTTTCTTTCCTCTTTTTTTTTTTTTTTTTTGCATTTATTATATCAAATTCCAATATGAATACTTGAATTATACTAATTTAATCAAATTAAAAATTTAAAATTAACGCAAAAAATTTAGAAAAAAAAAAATTTATTCATTTGCATTTTATACTTTTTTCCTGTATAAACATAACTTTTTATTTATCTAAAATAAAATTCTTTTGAATTAAACAAAAAAAATTTTTTTTTGTTTTAAATGAAAGAATTTTTTTAAAAAAAAAATAATTTCATAGAATTAAAATAAAAAAGAAAAAATCAAAAAAGGAACCAAGTTTTCGATCTAAAATAAACCAAAATTAAAATTTTAAACTGTGAAGAAAGTATTTTTCTCAAAAGAGAAGAATTGATTATAAAACTTACTACAAATTTTTTTTTTTTTTTTTTAGAAATCGATGAATATAATATCGTCATTTTTGTTGTTTCTCCCTTGCAAGTTTAGCATAAAAAGCATCTCTTTGTTGAATCATAGGAACATGAATTCCATACCAATAAGCATACCCACCACCAATGCCAAGTGCAAATGAAACGACGACATCGGTAATAAGTACTTTGCGAATTTTACCAGTAATTGGAGCGATAGCCATTGTGTGTTTTTTACTTTTTATTATAAAAAAATTGTGCAAATAGAGGATTTGAAAAGATTGATCTGTTCATTTTTTTGTGTTATCATAAGGTTTAATAAAATGTGGTTACACGTCACGAAAAATTTGTAACACCAAAAATTTGTAACACCTTCATTTATTATTATTATTATTATATAAAAATTATTTTCCCCCTTATTACCCGTAAAAAACAACAGTAATTTTTTTTTAATTATTATTCTTATCAGAAACTTTTACATTTTCTATATTAAATATACATTATTCAGTCGAATTATTACTCTAAAATCATGGAATATAAACCTTGAAATATTTAATGTTCAAATAAATAATTTTTATTATGAGGAGCCGCTTACTGCCAATCTAATAAGTACGATTCAAAGAATCAGTAAAAATTATCTAAATATCAGGAAAGAAAAGTAATTTTAAGATTGAACATACTTCTTCAAATGTTCCATAAACACCTGCAGGCTAACGTCATCAGTAAAGATAGCTTGTCCTTGCGGAGCTCCATACATGCCTCCAGAAACGTGTGTAGTGGAAGGATTTAATTTGGAAAGTAAGAAACGTGCTTGAGAACCATGTTGGTCACAAACAATGTAACGAGGAATAGGGAACCGATCCGCCAAAAGTTCCTACAATATAACATAATTAATTGTATTAGGATTATGAATTTATCAATATTGAATTAAAACATGATATTTTTCAAACATTCACCTCTGAATCATTCTTTGGTAATTCTAATAACTCTTTGAAATTTTCATAACCTTCTTGATCCTGATATCCCGCCTTCCTCCATTGAGCAATTGTCTCCCCATGGAAAATAAGAATATGGAAAAATGTATCAAGTAGTAAGATGACGTCGGGCTTTATAGAAATTGAATCCAAGAGTACTGGTTGTGGTGGTTGATCGAAACCATAAGACATAAGTGTGGGCTGAATCATAATAAGTGAATTGTTCACATCTTCTCGATTCAAAACGTGGCTAAATATAAAAAGAAAATTTTTAATGTGAAGATTTTTATGATTTAGTCTAAATCGGTTCAATTCCGAAAAATAAATACCGATAAAATGCCGTTTCGTCAGGACTATTATTGAAAACTTGCAAAAATTGACTTCTCCTAAGGTGAAACATGAATTGTGGATATATAGAAAAGTTTTCTGCAAGACGAAACGATGAAGGATCATCCTTTCTATAATCGGCAAATTTCTGACACAGACGAATTAACATACGATCCAACCATCTTAATACGTCCGGGCCATCGTCAATTTCTGCCTTGAATACTGCAATACGTGCCATAAGAACAGCAGCAGCTTCTTGATCAAAGGATTGAGCAATTTGCGGACTATTTCCTTCAGCAAAGTTCCTGGCAACTGTTGTAACGCGCAAACGGAATTGTCCACTGGAATGTTGGTAATGAGTCAAAAATTGAATCAACCCACGTGAACCAGGTTGAAGAGGTTGTCCATGTTGATTAACCACTTCAAAATACACCGCCGCTGTTGTCTTTGGAGTTATTCCGCACATCTTCCACGCCGATGTATTGGCAATACCGATCTCTGTCTCGGCGACTGATGCACTCTTTTTATTTGCAGAAATAGCATGACCAATTAAACCACATACTCGCATTTCTCGTGTAGTCTACATTTTAAAATTTAAAATTTTTTTAGAATTGTTTCCATGAACTTTCCTAATTGTATTAAATCTTTTAAAAATCCATACTTGTACATCCAAAGTTGCATTGAATCCCATTTGTAAGTTGCCTTGAGTATCTTTATTGAAGACTCTTTGGAAACTCTGCTTGAAGATAGCTGTTGTGAAAGAATCTGAAAGGATCATAAAACCTCCGGTAGAATTCACCATTGATTTCATCTCAAGCAATCCAACCTGATCGAGGCATCCAGCAAAGATATCAACAATATGCCCGTTTGTTGATGCACGTTTTGCCAAAGCATCATAAAACTGCATAAATAAATCGATATATATATATTATTGTATGTGGTTGCGTTAATTGATAAACCTAGACTTTATGTTACTTAACATAAGTGTTCGGAAGATCCTTAACCTTTAATTTAAGCATTGTTCAAAAATATAAAAAAACGTGCCTTTGTTGCCTTTTTATAGTATTTTATATTGTCCTTCTCGATATCGTGGTGAGATCGAATTGGTTCTTTCAATTCATAACCAACAACCATGCCAGGACCTTCTGTAGCAGCACCGCCACAGAACAGCATAATACGTGCCCCCGTACCCGAAAATGTGGTCTATATAATAATATATAAATTAAAATGCACTATCAAAATTAAACTTATATTATATGAAAATCACATACCTCCATTAAACCAATTGCCACACTCATTGCCACGCCGGTACATCTTTGCGAACGTTTATCGTTAGCAACTGGCCAAGGGTCACGTTGGAGTTGCTCTAAAATAGATGTTAACTGGAAATCACATTCCTCAACCGGCAAAAGAAACCTGTTGAATTTCAAATATTAATCATCGGCTGTATAAATTATTTTCTATAAAAAAAATGTATTTTCCTCACTACTTACCGGCTAGCACTTTGAGGAACGCCTGATGGACCTGGTCTTTGCAATGATTGACGTATCCCAATTCCTGATAAACCGAGCATTTCTTGAATTTGTTTTGATGAATACTCTTTAGTCCCACGAAAAACGTATGATTTTGGACATTCGCTATAACCAAGTTCATGAACTTGTGCCTAAAGTTTTAAAACAATTCACGTAAGCTTACAATCCATAGTAAAACAGATAATAGGATTTCTTGAATGAAAATTAATTTACCATAGTGCCATACGTGATCAAGCCAACTAATGCACTGGACGGAAGTAAACTCAAACTAACGACTAGAGAATCTTTCAATGCTTTCAAATCATCATCTTCTAAGCAAGTATCTACCACAAACAAAAAAATTGGAGGCACTTGAGCAGCACGAGCAAGAGTGTATTCAATTGTAGTAAATTTAGGTAGCAATTCGGCAGGAAGATTAGTGTTGGAGATATCTTTATAATGAGGAGGGAAAGCATTCCTTTGAAGGCAAAAAGGGCAGATCCAGAGTTTTCCGCGAACATCAATTTGACTATTAAAAAAAAAATAATAAATCAGTACTTTGTCAAAACGAGAAACAAAATACGCGCACAAAAATTAAATTTGTAACTGCTAGATAACAATTACAGATTAAACTTAGAAAAAGACCGCTGAGCAAAAAGAAAAAAAAAAAAATTTACCAGTAAGGGTTCAAAATTGCACGACAAGGAGCCTTACAAGTTACAGGTTCATAAAAGATTGGTGGCAGGTCCTCTCTTTCTTTGAGTGGAGTATAAAGACATGATATTGGAACCACTGTTCTTGTAGCATCCAAGCGAGAAGCTGGAAAAACATTCCAGGAGAAGCGAGTCCCGTCCTGCTCTTCGATTTCTTCAAAATTCATTTCTCGGAAGGATTCTACAAGGTCAAAATTTTACCTATTGTGGATCAAAGGATTGGTTTTTTTTTTTTAAAAAAATTACCAGAGAGATTTACGTGGAGGTTTTTGTGTGGCCAATAAACTCATATAATCATATAATGCTTGTCTATCATTTGACTCCTGACTTGATAAATTTATCATTCTTTTTTATGATATAATTGAATGAACAAACGCGAATTTCAATGATATTATTTCCGCAGTACTTACTGATATATCGAATTTGTTAAACTGAAACAGCAATTTGCAGTTCGGCGACATGATACATTAAATGTTTCGAGCGCAAAAATTATTCATTTGATGAATAAAAAAGTAATTTCGATGCGACGACGACAGGACTTGAACCTGTGCGGGCAGAGCCCATGTGATTTCTAGTCACACTCCTTAACCACTCGGACACGTCGTCAAAGTACTTATTCTTCTGGAATTTTAATATTACTTAAAGATTTGTATTGACGTGCCGGAAATAGGTAGTACAACGGAGGTTGATAAAGGCCAACCCACACGGTCAATCTAAAAATCAAAAAAAAAAAAAAAAAAAAATTACGGGGCATCAACGGGGTAAAGCTCCGATTGAAGACCTTCGAAAGATATATTTTCCCCCTTCACCCTTTTGAAATTGAAATAACGTCGCCCCCATTTTCCAAAAACTTTGTTCTTCCATACATACAGTATGAGTTTTCTATTCAAGTCGAAGCAAAAAACACCACACGAGCTGGTGAAGATTCTTAAAGACGCCATTAATAAGCTGGATGGCTTAGACAAAAAGAAGGTTGGTGTTGGGCCAAATTAACTGTGTTTTCTGAGATATAAGGTTGCAGCTTGTTTGGGAGAAGGAAACTCTGAGTCTATAAAAAAGGACCCTTATTACTTTCAAAGGAACTTCTTTGGGCAGTTTATGTATACTTTTTGACTCTGAGAAGAGTTGTTCCTGACCTCTCAACAAACCTGTATAGTGATAAAGATAAAAGAAGAAAAGGTCCTCACCAAATGTCATTTCGTAGGCAAGCGAAGACATATCGAAGAACTTAACGACTATGAAAACCATCCTCTACGGTGATGGAGGTTAGATACATTTGATATGATTAAATTACTTTAAATTCATCGTTGATCTCTAATTAATTGTTTTTTTTAAAATTTAATCATGTTTCAGACAGTGATCCTGTGCAAGAAACGGTCGCGCAATTGGCACAAGAAGTTTATAATAATGATATTTTGCAATTATTAGTGTTGAATATTTGGAGATTCGAGTTTGAGGTAATCCGTCAATTATGATTCAGATAGTGTTACAGTCCTCTTACCTAATGAACAGGTCTTTACTAATCATTATAATAGGCAAAGAAAGACGTGTCGCAGATATTCAATAACCTTCTAAGAAGGCAGATAGGTTCATTGACTCCAACCGTCGATTATTTAACAAATAGAGAAGAAATACTATTTACATTACTTAAAGGGTATGTATAAATTGATTTATGTGATTCGAGATGATGTGATATTTATATTCCGGTATCACGTTTTACTTCTCTGCTACAGTTATGAGAATCCCGATATAGCTCTTAATTGCGGAATGATTCTACGGGAATGCCTTCGACATGAATCCTTGACCAAAATTATATTGTATTCGCCACACTTTTACGATTTCTTTACTTATGTAGAAATGAGCACATTTGATATTGCTAGCGATGCCTTCGCTACATTCAAGGTTTGAGATATTATGTGTGTTCGTTTATGAAAATTCTTTGACGACATATTGAAATTGTTCACCTTTTATTTCAAAAGGAGATATTGACACGTCACAAGACTTTGGTAGCCGAGTTTTTGGATGTTAATTACGAACAGGTATTATCATAATTCATCACTCATTTGTCAGATATTTTAAATTTATTTTTACTAATACTTTTTTTTTTTTTAAAAAAAAAAAGTTTTTCGAGTCTTATACCAAATTGTTGAATTCAAATAATTATGTGACTAAGCGACAATCCCTTAAAGTGAGTTATACATTCACTCAATCAAGTAGAAAAACACAATATTGATAATCTTTAAATTTATAGCTTCTTGGAGAAATTTTACTGGATCGTTGTAATTTCAATGTGATGACGCGATATATCGCGAGTTCAGAAAATTTGAAACTTATGATGAATTTATTAAGGGATAGAAGTCGTAATATTCAATTCGAAGCTTTTCATGTGTTTAAGGTACGAACTTATAATAAACAATCGTGAAATTTTACGTTTAATCTGAAGAGAACCCTATTTTTAGATATTTGTGGCGAATCCAAACAAAACTAAGCCTATCTCGGATATTTTGAGCAAGAACCGGGAAAAATTGATTCAATTTTTAGGAAATTTTCACAATGATCGTCACGGTTTGTTTATTATTTTGTTTATTCCAAATGATCTTTTGTTTAAAAAAGAATGATTGACACTGATTTCTTCTAATGTAAAAAAAATTAGATGATGAACAATTCAATGATGAAAAGGCATTTTTATTGAAACAAATTCAAGAATTACCAGAACTTGAGGTTCTGTCGCGATAGAAATATTGTTGATTTTGGGGAATGGGGGCGCGTTGTTTAAATATGATATATATATATATAATATGAAGGTCTTCAAATAAAATAATATATATCATAAGAAGGAGATATCTATTAGGATTGTTTAAATAATCATAATGAAGAAATTATAATATATTTGACAAAAATAATAACAATTATCATTATATTAAAAAAAAAAAATTTTAATTTAAATACGTTGGACATCATCATCATCATTATTATTATTGTTATTTTTGTCAAAGAAATTAATGTTACTCGAAACAAAATTTGGTTTTATATTACGTTTATAATTTTGAAAGAGGTGAACAGAAACTGATCTTTTTAAAAAAGTTTCCCGGTGAAACGAGATAAGGAGGGCGGAACATTCTTAATTTTTTTTTTTTATATTTTTTTTTATATTTTTATATTTATACTATTACTATTTTCATTTTGTGTGTATAATTCTTTTTTCTTTTTATTTTATATATATATATATATATATTTTATTTCGTTGCCAATTTGAACAGTTTTATTTTTCTTATATAGAGCAACAAAATAACCATCATGTATTTTCATTTTTATATGCTGATAAAGATGTTACTTTGTAATTTAAGGAAAAAAAATCCTATTGATGTATTATTCTGAAGAAATAAATTGGTTATTACACTATTAATTTAGGTAAAATGCTTCCAAACAGAAAATTTTTGTTGTATATTTTCGGATGATAGAAATTCTTGTTTACTTATAGTAACTGAAGAATCAATCACGCTAACTCCATTTCCTCCAACTTGCGTCTCAAAACTTTCAAATCCTAATGATGCTAAAGCCGATTTTATTTTCGTTATTTCATCACTTGTAATATCTATTCATAATAAATCAATAAAGTATGTATGATTATTAAGATCGCATTAACCTTGGAAGAATCTGTATATATATTTACCATCTCTAAGTAAAGTTAATACACAACCTCCACCTCCAGCTCCAGTAAGTTTAGAATGTAATGAATGCTGTGCGGTAATTTCTCTTACTCGATCAATAGATGAATGTCCCACTCCCAAGGAATTTAATAAATAATGATTTATATCAATAAGTTCCTATGATAAAAGTAAAATACATTTATCAAATAAATTCAAAATAAAATAACGTATTTAAAAAAAAAATACCTCGAATTTTTTATTTAATTCACTCTGAGAAGCTATAGATAGGGTAATTAAATCATTTTAGTAATTTAAAGCGAAATTATGATTATAATGCAGTTTAATTTAATCTATTTATTTATTTATTTATTTTTACCTCCGCTATTAACTATTTCATTAAATGAGAGGCTCATACCCTCAATGGCTTCTAATATAGGATCGACAATATGTGGATACTAAAAAATTTAAAAAATATTTCAGCATTGAAAAAAAATTTCTCAAAAGGATCCTCGAAAAAAAAAGGCTTTGAAGGAAACAAGGATAACGTTCCCCCACAAATAATTTAAAATATACTTTATCATACAACACGCGAACTTTAGCAACTTGAGCGCGAGTATCCCGAGATATTTTCGTATTAGTTAATAGGAATCGAAGTAATTGAAATCTTACAGAAAAAATCTAGTCATATTTCGGCAAAAGGAAATCGAATAAAATAAAATACTTGATTATAATTCAAAGATAATAAATTCCTTACCCTATCACATTTTCCATTTCACCTTTTGTAAATGACACTGCACCACCTTTAATAATAAAAACAGACATTTTATTATAATGTTTTCAAACGAGGTATAAAATGAAATGTAGTATTTACCATAAGTAGCTACTGCATTGTCAATTCCTGAGGGAATACCATGAATCACCTTTTCGGCTTGAAATGCCCAACGATTTATTAAGTTCATTGGAGAAGAATAACCTGAAAAGCTAGTATCTGTATTTCCTTCATTAGAGTTAGGAACAGGAATATGACCTAAAGCAAGTAATAATCCTGTAGCTAAACAAACTGAATAAGAAGCGGATGATCCCAATCCAGCTCCCACTGGTAAATCGGAAGTGACGTGAACTTTCATCCCACACCTTAAATGAATTATCATTTAATTTTACGTTTGAACAGGTTATTTGAGTTAATTCGGGTCATACCATGAATTTTGTTTATCCTCTAAGCTCGTGTAAAGGTAAAGAAAGACTGAAGCCGCCACTTGTTGTAATTCATTAATTTCTTGAATATCTTTATTTTTAGCGTTGCCATCAAGAACAATTGGTTTTAATTCTTTTAAGAGCTCCTCGTTAAATGCTAATTCTTGCGAAGAATTATTATCTGTAGCTTTTATTCAAAAAAAAAAAAAAAAGAAAAGAAAAGGAATAGGGATATAATTAAGAATCAATTCTCCGATTTCTAATCAAATGAAGAGTTAAATTTACCTTTGCTAACCGCAGCTACCTTGGAATATGGAAGAGCAGAAATCGGCCATATTAAAGGAAGGTGAAGACCAAGTTTCGGTAAATTCAATTCTAAGAGACCATCATCGCTCTTTTCAAAAAGTATATAAGTGCGAAGTCCGTCAAGACTTCCAGCAATTGCCGTCTAAAAAAAAAAAATAAAGTTCGGTAAATTTTCATTTTTCCATTCATTTTAATGGGAACCTTTTTTACCTTTCCATAAACAACTGCGTGCTCACCAAACAATATAACTTTGCCTGGCGCTGAAATAAGATAATGGGTCGGTGAAGACATAATGTCAACAACAGAAATTTCAACAGTGGGTTTTTTTTTCAATTAAAACTAATTACCCCAATCAATTTATGAAGTGAACAAACAGAAAGTAATAAGAATTACGATGTCAACAAGAAGACTTTATTTAAATTATCCTTAGCAACTTAAGCCAGCGAAATAAAGTCAAACTAAAGTCAAAACTAACTAAAAATATAAGTGTAAATATTAATTTTGATAAATCTACTACGGTCTGTAATAGCTTCCAAAAATGTAAAAATGTATAAATTAAATCAAGATCCTAATTCTAACGTATTATTATTTATTTTTTTTTTTTTTATAAATTTATATCCGCGAATTATTTTTTTTTTTTTTTTTTTTATTTTTTTATACCGCGATTTTAATTTAATTATGTTATTTTATTTTTAATTTTAATTTTTAAATTTTATTAAATTTTTTTTCCGATGTATTCTTTATTTAATTCTAAAACAAAAAAAAAATTGCGAATAACCGAAATTTTTTTTTTTCTATAATCGCGGGTTCTAATATACCTGTACAGTATATCCCCTATATTTATTTATTAGATTAATCGAAATCGAAAATCGAATCTTAGAGTCGAATCTTGAGAAACGATTAATTGGAGAGTAGCGTAAGGTCTATGCTGGCATGAAAATGTCCGCCCGCTCGAAATTTAACAATTAGTCCGAACGACTATATGGGTTGATTGCTAGGAAAATCAGGTTCCGGGAATTTTTTAGCGAAATTGAGATTTTTATTGCATTTTAGTTTTTGATGTTATTAGATTAAAATGTATTAAGCTCTTAATTTTAGTCTTTCCTAGAAACACTCCCATATATATGTCAATAATTGAGTCGATTGCACAAATTTTTTTAATCAATTTCAAAAATTTTGTCAAATTTATAGTGCGGTTGAGGATTTTATCTATTGAAGAGGATTTAGGTTGAAAGTAATGAAGAGAAACGAGGCGTCATTTTATAAAGAAATTTTGATCGGCACATTCTTTATTAGTATATTTAATTGGATATAAAAGACTATCTCTTTAATATTTATTACACGTTTAAGTACAAGCCCTTAGCATTCCTTATAAATCAGATAATTTTTTAAAATGAGAATTTGAAAATTTGATTGGTCACCAAAAAGATTTAACATTAACATTATGGGACCCATCAAAACTTACAATTAATATAACATAAACTTTTCCGTCTTGAATTATTGATCAAAAACATTTTTTAATCTTTCTCACAACACAAGTAAGTATATCGATAAAACTTACTCGTTTTTCGACACGTGATTGACTGAACAATAATTGAAACGGGCGTCCTTAACCTAGGGAGGGGGTGTAGACCCTTATCGTCCAACCCCATGTATAAATAAATATTTTTAAAGTATATATCAC